GTGTGTGTGTGCGCGTGTGTGTGTGTGCGTGTGTGTGTGTGTGTGTGTGTATGTGTGTGCGTGTGTGTGCGTGATGTAACAAATAAGACCAAGATAAATCAAACCTTTCTTCCAATAATGTGACCTATAACAGGTACAATAAATAAATAATAATAATAATAATAATCATAATCTCAAGAGACAACACGTTTCAATGGGGATGTGGCTGTGTTCAGAAATTAACCAGTCACATTTAAACTTATTTTAAATGGCAGTCAGCACACCTGCCATGAATTAAAGTGCCTCTGATCAACCCCAAATACATTTCAGAGGTTCTAGTGGGCTTTTTATTATTCTATAATAAGCCTGGTTTTGTAATTACACCCATGAATCACTGTAGGTATGTTGTCATCCTGTAGCTGGCTTTGTTCACACCTTTTTCGAAGTAGCAATGCTCCTTATCAAGAATTTAGACATCATTGTCTTCAAGTAAATGTGCCTTTCTTTTGAAATACAAACGAACCCGAAGAAACTACCCTCCAATGTTATGGCATGCATTTGGTGTGAAAGCTGCTTGGTCTCTCCAATCTCAAGATCGTTGCACTTCTGATCACCCCTAGCTCCCATTCTAGTGGACATTGGAGAGCAGGTGTTGGTGCCCCCAAAAGTGTCCCACCTTTTGGGTGCCGCTCTTCAGTGGGCAAGAAAATCTCCAAGCATTTCACTCGAGGCATCAGACACTGAACATGGTTTGTCCTGTGAATATTACCACTTGACCTCGGACGATCGGAATTTGATTTCCAACATTGAACCCTTCTAAGCCTGCCTGCAGTCTGTTCTGCATTGTTGATGTAATAAAGGCTTGAATTCAGTTTGGTAATGATGTGTATTTAGTGTCATATTTAGCAGGAGTGAGGAATTGACTCACATGACTGAACTCATGTCAATCTTTCAGATTGAGCATTGTTTTGCAGACCACTTCGTAGATCAGCCATCTGTTTCAGGACAGTATGGAAACAAAAAACAACAATATAAGTAGTCAGTTAAACTAAGCAGAAGTTATTAGCCGACTGATGCCTGGCAGCCACTGCACCTGCCCTGTCCTACTGCTTTGCATCCATGCATGAAAAAAGCTAAACTGTGCTCTGATTACATTACATAACTCCAATGCCTCAGCTCTGCTTAGCTGACTAATCTTTTTACGGGCTTCTGCTAATTAACCATCTGATCTTGTCATCAGAACATATGTTTTTATGATTGATCTTTGTTGCATCACCAGTCGAGTTAGGAAATATTGAGTCATGTATAAAAGGTCAGCAAAGGCCTTGGACAGTATCTTTATATTGACAGTGCAGAGTGAGAGCCGAAAACAAATATTTAATTATCCTCGGGTTGTAATGTTATAAAACCCCATTTGGTCAGTTATTGAATGATTTAGGGCAATCCAGGACAAACATGACCTACATTTAATCAAACAATTTTGCCTCCATTCAAAATATGGTATGGATATATATATGTGTGTGTGTGTGTGTGTGTGTGTGTGTGTGTGTGTGTGTGTGTGTGTATGTCTCTCTCTCTCTCTCTCTCTCTCTCTCTCTCTCTCTGCCGAAGCTGGAATCAAACCCTGCACCTCTGCACTGTGAGGTGGATGTGCTCACCAGTGGTTTAGCATAAAATCAGCAAATAAAGGCGGTATAGCGTGACATTTATGCGAATTGAATGTGAATGTAAAAAAATAATGTCAATGTGCGCTTTATAAAAATGTATTTCCGTTTAATTGCCTGGGGACGCAAATGGCACCAAATTTGCTTGAATGGCCCATACAAGCATTACCAGAAAATGAGGGATTTGTCTCCCAGAGTGACTGACCCATATAAAGACAGGAAATCACTCCAGCAGTGTACTCAGGTAGACATAAAGAACGGTGGATGCACAGATAAAACCTCATCCTGTTTAATAAAAAGAGAATTAAGTAAGCACAGGTAATGTCTGCAGGTTCCTGTGCTGATATTGCAAAATTACATGTAAAGGCTTTGTAATGTTGACCTCAATCCAAGAAGCACAGCATTGCAATCTGATTTGAAATTTCATCTCACCCACGACCTTAAGGAAGACAAGCCAGCACGATGGTGACTCTCTTGCGTCTCCTCTATAGCAGATAAAATGGATTCTCTTTTAGGATGAAGTCTGGAGATTGACTTGGTCATTCCAAAACCTCATGTTGCTTGCCCCCAATGAATGTCTCTGTTGTTTTGGCAGCGTGTTTTTTGTTTCATTATCTTGCTGCATGATCGACAGTTTCCCGGTCAGTTTGGCCAAATCTTTCTTTAAATAGGCCGACTTCTGTCTTACGTCAAGTGCGAGAAAAACTTTTTTTTTCGAGGGCAAAATAATACTTGCATTTTAGCAAACCAATTTTTAGAGAGAAAAAAAAACCCCCAAACGGTTATTAATTCAACAAATATTACCTCTTGATAATGTTGAGTGTGCTGGATTAAAGAATAGTGAATGCCATATGTGGCCCAGAGGCAATGCTTTGCCCACCCCTGTGTTACATAATCAGTGAAGGTTAGCGACCTCATCTCAGATGAATCCATACCTCCACTGAGTTTTACAGATGAGGTTTTATGTGGCATCTTCTGGTATCGTCTCAGTACTTTGATAACGTGTTCAGCAATCAGTACACATTGTGATACCTACCTGTAACTTGTAGGGAAAAAAAGGTGTAATATGTCTTCTTAAAGGCATATTTTTCCAACAAATTATGGTTGGTTCGAAATTATAAGACTTTCAAGTTCAACTATAGTATGTTCATGTGTTGACTGCGCCCCAAAACTCATTTTCAGTCGTTCTTTTCCGAAAATATTTGGAGTTGTTGTCTGCCATCTTGGTGAAAGTTCACTCAAGCATTACCTCGTGACACCAGTGTTAACTGGAGCGAGCAGACCGGCGGCCCAAGGCAAACACTGCTCAATCTGTTGAGCATATCCACGTTTTTGGAGCGAGGTCACTCAGCCATTGGTGGGCAAATGAATTCAATTGGCTTCACACAATTAGTGCAAGTCAACAAGGAAATAGGTGGAGCAACAGGCTGCTTTCCAACGGTACCCTGGTAACAGTCTTACATGTGGGGAACCATTTCAGGCTGTTCTATTCTCTCTCTCTCTCTCTCTCTCTCTCTCTCTCTCTCTCTCTCTCTCTCTCCATATA